TCTTGTAGGCAGCCTTTGGACAAATCAAGGTCAGTCTTGGCTTGTGGAGTTCTTGGGATAAGAAAGTCACATACTCCCATCCTGAAGGAGGATGATAATCAAGAACGCTCTGTTAAAATTATCTGTGCCACCAGAGGCCCCAATAAGTTGCTTACGTATGTTGTTATCTTTTGTGCTTCTTTGTTCTGCAGCTGGTTATGTATAAATACCACCGAGACATTGGAATAAATGAGCCTTGATCAGCCTTGTTTCATTGGCTCCATTCTCTGTGATCACTTGTCTCTCTTTTAGGTTCCTCTCCCTCCCTTAGGTTCCGTTCAACTGGTGCAGCTGGCCCGCAGACTCTCTCCAGACTGGCCAGGAAAGAACTAAAGAACTAAATTACTTATATCAAGAATTATAAAGGCAACATCCTTAAAAATACTAATGAATAGTGAAATTTAATGAACAAGTCATCACTAATAAATTTGAAAACAGAGTACAGACACAGATTTCTTTTTTAAAGAAGATTTATTTTATTTATTTGAAAGGCAGCATGACAGAGAAAGGGAGAGACAGAGAGAAAGAGATCTTCCATCTGCTGTTTCACTCCTCAAATAATTAAGAGCCTGGAACTCCATCCAGGTCTCCCATCTGAGTGGCAGGGTCATCTTCCACTGTTTTCCAGTATGCATTAACAGGAAGCTAGATCACAAGTGGAGCAACCAGAACTCGAACCAGTGCCAACATGGGATCCTGGCATTGCAGATGGCAGTTTAACCTGTTACACCACAATGCCAGACCCCAAAAAGTTTTAATTAAAAAAAGCAGGGACTGCCACTGAAGGATAGAAGGTTAAGTATCTGTCTGCATCGCTGGCATCCCATATGGACGCCGGTTCGAGACCTGGCTGCTCAGCTTCTGATCCAGCTCCTTGCTGATAGCCTGGAAAAGCAGTAGAAGATGGTGCAAGTGCTTGGCTGCAGATCAGCCCAGCTTTTCCCTTGCAGCTATCTGGGGAGTGAACCAGTGGATGGAAGACCTCTCTCTCTGTGTCTCCCTCTCTTTGTCTGTAATTCTGCCTCTCAAGTAGATAAATAAAATCATTTTAAAAAACTCAGCAGAGGATATGGATATGTTATCTTGATTTTGATAACTTAATATGCATATATACAAATCCATCCAATTTTACACTTTAAATATATGCAGTCTTTTTCATGGTAATTAAACCTCAACAAAATGGGAGAATGTTGCAGCATTTCTCTTTTTGAATAATTTAATCTCATAACCATTAGGTAAAACAAGTTAATTAGGCATCAACATTTAAAAGGGAAGTGATGGGGACACTTAGGGAGCTGTAGTGGTGTCCCAGAGTGGAAGGTCACAGTCCGGGGATGGTGGAATGGAAGTGTTACCTGGTTCAAGGTGTTGGATACACATTGGGTTCAGAAGGGTGGCTGCCTAACACAGTGCCAGGTGCATAGATGCATGAGCCCAAGTGGGAGGAAGAAGACATCAGACACAGATGTGACAAAGACAGATGGTAGCCAAGAGAGATTGCTTACAGACAGGGGGGGTGGATTGAGCAAGCAAACAGGTTAAAGATAATAGGGAGCAGATTTTTCACTGTTCAAGAAAGAAGTAACTAACACAGAAAGGAAAACACAAGAATGAAGCCTGCGGTACTGGATTGCAACTGGAGGTATTTGTGTGGACTCGTGATTTTCAACATTTAATATAGAGAGACAGATCAAGATTTGAATGTACCAGTACACACACAAACACACACACTCTATAGCTCTGTCCACTGAGAGGACCAAGAAATAGTAACAGGCTAATAATTATGAGCACAAGTAGCACAGTGGCCTTGACTACGAAATGCATTCTCCATTAAAGGAAGCAAAATTATACAAAGAAATGGCTAGACTCAGAACACAAATCAGGAAAGGACAAAATGAGCCAGAAGCATCATTTTGAAAGGAATAAATAATAGAGATATTAATAGAGAATAGTATTAATAGAGAATAGTATTAATAGAGAATTAATAGTATAAATAGATAATTAATAGTATTAATAGAGATGGTGTTAATAGAAAATAATAGAGAAAAAGAAGTCAGTGGCTACATTGATGTAAGCAGCTACATTTGTACCAGGTCAGGCACCAAAATCAATATTGACATTACCAGACTAATGTAATCGGGTAAGAAAGAGTTTGTATCAATATAAATAGTAAGGAACGAAGGAAATAGAAAAATTGACATGGAATGGGATATGCGTTTTTGTTGCTGAATGAGATATTTAACTTTTAAAGAATGTCTTAATTTAGAATCAGAATGTGAACATGTACTGTTACCATACTTAAACTTGCTTTCAAAAGCACATTCATGACCTGAAGGACCTTGAAGTCAAGTTAGGGGAATGCAGTGTGCATGAGAACTTCAAGATTCTCTCTCCAGCACACATGTCCATATCATCCTGGTAGTCATGGGGAAAATAGAAAGAGTATAGCATGGCTCCTCTGCTTCACGCTTGATGTCCCCATGCTAACAGCTGTTACCGGAAACAAAAGAGGAAAAAAAATGTAGTGACAGAGGAAGATGCTACATTGAGGGTGATTAGCAAGCTATGTCTTAACCTTCAAACAGAGAGCATCAAGTTTCGAAATTGCTAAGCCCATGAGTGGATAACTCATCTATAGGAGCCAAAGTAAAAGTAGTAAGACAAGGGCAGGATCCTGAGTTAGGCAGAAACCAAACATTTAGAGAAAATTTTATGTTGTTTGGGGTAGTACAGTTTATAATCAAGTACAATATGAACAAATAGTCAAAATAGGAGATACTTTTAATGGAGCCAGCTTGGTGGCACAGTCAAGCCACTGCTTGTGACAGCACCATCCCATATTGGAGCTCTGGTTCATGTTGTGGCTTCTTTGCTTTCAATTCATCTTCCTGCTAGTGCACCTGGGAAGGCAGTAGATGATGACCCAACTACTTGAACCCATGCCACCCTTGTGGGATACCAGGATGATGTTCCTGGCTCCTGGCTCCTGGCTCATAGCCTGGCCCAGCCCCAGCTGTCTCTCTTTCCCTGCCTTTCAAATAAATGAATTTTTTAATTAGAATTTTTTTATTTATTTGACAGGTAGAGTTATAGACAGTGAGAGAGAGAGACAGAGAGAAAGGTCTTCCTTCCATTGGTTCACCCCCCAAATGGCCGCTACAGCCGGCTCTGTGCCGATCTGAAGCCAGGAGACAGGTGCTTCTTCCTGGTCTCCTATGTGGGTGCAGGGGCACAAGCACCTGGGCCATCCTGCACTGCCTTCCAGGGCCACAGCAGAGAGCTGGACTGGAAGAGGAGCAACCGGGACTAGAACCAGGTGCCCATATGGGATGCCAGCACCTCAGGCAGAGGATTAACCAATTGAGCCACGGCACCGGCCCCTAATTAGAATTTTTTTAATTTTTAAATTTAATTTTTAATTAATTAATACCACTTACTAGAACATTACAAAAAGCATTCGTAGAGGGTCCAGCCTTGTGGGATAGTAGGTAAAGCCACTGCCTGTGATGCTGACATCCCATAAGGGCATCAGTTCATGTCTCATCTGTTCCACTTCCCATCTAGCTTCCTGGCCTCCCAGGTAAATAGTCTTGGAAAAGTAGTGGAAGATGGCCCAAATGTTCGGGCTTCTGCCACCCATGTCAGAGACCTGGATGAAGCTCCTGCCTCATGGCTTTGGCCTGGCTCAGTCCTGGCTGTTGTGGCCATCTGGGGAGTGAATCAGTGGACAGAAGACTCTGTGTGTGTGTGTGTGTGTGTGTGTGTCCCTCTCTGCAATTCTGGCTTTCAAATAAATAAATATTTTAAGAATGTTCATAGAATAAATGTGTATTATAGTGTGCTTTTTTAAAAAGATTTATTTATTTGAAAGTCAGAGTTACACAGAGAGAGGAGAGGCAGAGAGAGAGAGAGAGAGAGAGAGCGAGGTCTTCCATCCAATGGTCCACTCCTCAATTGGCTGCAACGGCCAGAGCTGTGCTGATCCGAAGCCAGGAGCCAGGAGCTCCCTCCAGGTCTCCCACGCTGGTGCAGGGCCCAAGGACTTGAACCACCTTCCACTGGTTTCCCAGGCCCAGCAGAGAGCTGGATCAGAAGTGGAGCAGCCGGGTCTCGAACAGGCACCCATATGGGATGCCGGAGCTTCAGGCCAGGGCGTTAACCCACTGTGCCACAGTGCCGGCTCCTATAGTGTGCTTTTTAAAAGTTTTTGAGACAGAGAGAGAAACAAAGGGCTTCTCATCTACTGTTTCACATCCCAAATGCCAGAGCCAACACCAGCTGATGGCAAAGCTGAGAACCAGGAACTCAATCCAGCTCTTCATGTGGGTGGCAGAGACCCCGTCACTTAAACCATCACATGGTGCCTCCCAGGGTGAGCATTAGCTGAAATCAGAAGAGGAGCCCGGACTTGAACTCAAACACTCAAATACTCCAACAATAGGTGATGAAGGCATTCCAAGCAACGTGGTAACCTCTGCTAAGGGTGTCAGCTCGCGATTTTCCTTTAGAATACATAGTTAAACAATGAAAAATATTCATAGCAAAATATATAAACATCAAACTATTAAGGGTAATGATTTTAGGCCAGCGCCGCGGCTCAATAGGCTAATCCTACGCCTGCGGCACCGGCACACCGGGTTCTAGTCCTGGTCGGGACGCCGGATTCTGTCCCAGTTGCCTCTCTTCCAGGCCAGCTCTCTGCTGTGGCCCGGGAGTGCAGTGGAGGATGGCCCAAGTGCTTGGGCCCTGCACCCCATGGGAGACCAGGAGAAGCACCTGGCTCCTGCCATCGGATCAGCACGGTGCACCGGCCGCAGCGTGCTGGCCTCGGCAGCCATTGGAGAGTGAACCAACAGCAAAAGGAAGACCTTTCTCTCTGTCTCTCTCTCACTGTCCACTCTGCCTGTCAAAAAAAAAAAAGAGTAATGATTTTAAAGATAAGAATCTGTGGGGTTCTTCCTTTTACTTTTCCATGTCCTTTGAATTTGCTAGACACTATTTTTAAAAGAAAACAGTCACAAATGCATTCCCTCCCATATCTTATGAATATAAATATATAGCTCCTATCTAATAGGGAGCACAAGCACATAGTAGATCCCAGTAAACATGTGACTATAATGACACATGTAAAATCAAAAGTAGTTGACCGCAGAGCACCTGGTATTGCTATCCTACATCTCAAGGGGCCTAACTAGAGGTTCTGATTCCACAATTTCCACAACCAAGAATAGACTTCATTTCTGGCTTCTAGAACAGTGCTCTGATAAGCCTTTACCCTGATTCCCATCAACTGTTATTACTAAATTCACTGCTGTGTACACTGGGGAAGGGGAAAAAGCACATGTTGACTCCTCTGAGAGTGAGTGGCTAGTGAGCATTCTTCCAGTTACAACTGATCCTGCAGAGAACTAGGGAGGATGCTTCCTTACTATGGTGTCTGCGTTGGCATTTGATGGCTTACACTGTCTTCTGTCCAGTGTGGGCATTTCCAAGACACTGGGCTCTCTGAGGACTGGCACAGCCCAAACAGTAACCATGTCAGGGCCCTCAGCCCATTCCTCAACTTTGGCCCTTGAGTGGACAAACCTCTTCACTGTCCTTTCCAGTTCTCAGGGTCATCCCAATTAGTGGGTATTAGTATCCCTCAACATTAACAGATGAAATTCATGACTTAGGATAGATTCCATGTGCAAGAGCATGCAACCAGTGCAAAATGAAGCCTCAATAGTCATCTAATTAGTGCTATTCTGGGTGCTATAATCCTCACTATCAAATTCCATTAGCTGTTCAGAGCAGGTGCAGCCCAGTGCCCATGCTTTAGAGCAGTTTGGGCGGCAGAGGCATCACCAGGATTCAGCATCTCCTGTGAGAAGCCATTTCAAAGGTAGGAGCATAACAGCATCAGTCATTCCTTGAGCAAACAGAGGTGCTAAACACAGGCAATGCAATGTTTCACGGCACCCCTCAAGCCGACTTGCTTGAAGTTTAGTCATCTCAACAAACATCACTTTGTCCTTTTATTGATCGTACTGTATCCTAGAGTATTTCCACACAAAATTGATCCCTTCAACCAACCCATCTTTTCACCCTATTCTCAAAGTATTGGAACCATTGCTATCCTTAGTCAATTCTCCCTCTTAAACCAGGCATCTGTGTCACCCTCCCAGCTTCTGCCATCTAGGAAAACCCAGTCAAATTACTCTCCCAAATGAGAGTCTCTCGCATGCTCCAAAGCTTCTGTTTGTGTTGAGAAAACAATAAAGTTATTAACAATGCTGAGACCAAAAACCCGGAATTTTCTGGACAACAGAAGTGGAAAATCAATTCTGATTGTTTCTGACATCATTATTGACGTGGAGCAGAAATGGAAACAAATAGGTTGGTAAATGATCCTGCCACCAATGCAGAAGGCGTAATACTGGCTGAATAAGTAGAGCTCAGGTACCACAGGGGAAACTGCCCCCTCATTCATGTCAGCACAGCCCCTCCCACAGGGCAGTGCTGGGAAATGTGCTTCATAACCAAGTGGGATCACTTGCTGTGCCGCACTGTCATTGGGTCACTGTGTGCTCTGTGAGTGAAAATACTGTCTCACTGCCTCAACCAATGCTTCTCTGATGGAAGCAAGCACATGGGCACCAGGTACGACTTGTTCTATGACCCTTTGGCCAGTAATTCGGCCTCTTTATGCCACCAAATATACCTTGGTTAGAATTTCAGGCCATAGGTACATGGAAAACATTCCCGCATGGAAGTTGCATGCTCTGAGTTGCTTCCGAATATATTTTTTCACCAGCGAGTTGACTCATCCTCTGGGATGTTCAAGCTCTGAGAATCAAAGTTGAAGTGAGGGCTATGCTGTATTGAATATATTCACAAGAGCAGAAATTAAATCTTGAATGCTATGGACTGGTTTTCTCTATCAGCCTGGCTTTCCCAGCAGTAGCTGAAGGTTGTTTCCTTCTGTCTGGGAGTGAAGTCCCAGGAGAGAGACTCGGGTGAGCACGAGCCACGTTGCCCCTAGTTCCTCTTCCCCTCCAGGTCTGACTCAGGCAGTGCTAGGCCAGGTGGTTCCAGGGCTCCTGTGTCTTGACCATTCATGATGGCCCCGCACCCACATTTACCTTAACACCAATTTTTGGTCCTTCAGACACTCCAAGCTCTGGGGCTTTCTTTCCATCCACCCCTTTACTCAACTGTCACCTTGAAGACATGGTTATGGATGAGGACAGAGATCCATTTGATGCCTTTGGCAGTGCTGGCTTCAGCGAGCTCACTGTGGTATCCAAGAAGTGTTCTGGTGACTTCTCAGATGGCTCCACTAACCCTGCATCTGGACACTCACACATGGTAATTTTCCATCCTCCTGTCATCAAGACTTATTAATTTGCTCCTAATAAGAGGAATAATGAAGATATTATGGGATATTACTTATAACTGTGGTTCACAAAAGATTTATAGCTTCTGTCATGCTTGGAATCTTTCTCTTTTCCCATCTTTGATGAAACTGCAACATGGGAGAGTCCCACAGGGCCCAGAATGGAGGGTGACCTCCAGGTAATTCCAGCCAGGAGCCTGCAAGGAACTTAAGCCCTCAGTCCAACAGGCCTTGAGAAGTGTAATCCTGCCCACGGACACACAAAAAAATGAACAGGCACATTTATCCCTTCCCAGATAAACCTCCAGAGACCCTGGCCACAGCCGACATCTTTATTGCAGCACTGGGGAGAGACCCAGAAGCAGAGAACCCAAGTGGGTCATGTCTGGATTCCTCACCCAGAAAATTGTGAATCAAAAATTTGGGGAGGGCATTCAATTTTAAGGTACCAATGATAACAATAGAAAACACACACAACTGCAAATCAGTGTGATTTTGTAGCATGTAAGATATAGCATGATTGGAAGGCAGAGACCAAGTTTACCTTCCCCAAACAGGAAGATATGGTCTTCAGTAACATATCTGCAGTTTCCCCATGATCAAACAGCATCCTCACCTTCTTACATGGAAATGCACTCATTGTGCTCCAGAAAGCCCTTACAAGGGGCCAGCGCTGTGGCATAGAAGGTTAAGCCACTGCCTGCAGCGCCAGCATCCCATATGGATGCTGGTTCAAGTCTGGATGCTCCACTTCTGATCCAGCTCCCTGCTAATGAGCCTGGGAAAGCAGCAGAGGATGGCCCAGGTCCTTGGGCTCCTGCACCCTCATGGGACCCAGAAGAAGCTCCTGGCTCCTGGCTTCAACCTAACCCAGCCTCCAGCTGTTGCAGACATTTGGGGAGTGAAGCAGCTCACGTGCACTCTCTCTCTTCTCTTCTCTGCCATTTGAATAAATAAACAAACCTGGAGGGAGGTAGGCAGGCAGGCAGGCTTTCTGCCCTTATGAGCCTGAAGAGGTGAGGCCTTGGAAAGGTAGTAGCAAGTGGAGGGAACAGCCAGGATGGGGTCATGTCTGGATGATGGGCTCTATCTTTCCTCTCCTCCTTGTTGTATTCCTTGTCCCATCACTCTATCATTACACCTTCCTCTTTCCTAAATTCAAGTTAGCTGTCTAATGTCCATTCCTACAAGAGAATGCCAGGTGACCTCTTGATCTCAGCCAGGCAACCTGAAGAGGTCCCCTGGGGTGGGCTCCTCCCTTGCCTTATGTTCCCCCAACAAGCAAGCACCCCTCGTTCTCCAGCTCCAAGTGTGCTTCTCAGACAGACAAACTTTCAGATTTGTCAGCAGCACCCACCCAGTTCCTGGACCCCACCCCAGCTGACACAGTGTCCACAAGAGAAAAATCCATCTATACATGCCCCACTCCGTGACCACTGCCTTTGAGACATGCTAGAATCAGCCATCATTTTAATGACAACAAGCACTCATCTCAGGAAATTATTCCTATTCGTTGCCCCATTCAAAGCTGCATTTTCTGTCCTCTATACTGCTTCAAAAAATGTAGATAGAAGGGACTTGGTGAACCACTCCCCATTTTATGTGCTCACAAAGGAAGGGAACATGACCCATCGATGCACATTTCGTGAGGGAGAGAGGGCTGGGTCTGTGGGGCAGGAAGCATTTATCCATCACCAAGAAACCCAGGAGGGGGACTTCTCCCTACCACAGACCTTAGTTTCTACAGGTTCCCGTGCCTCCACTTCCCAGACTTCCTGGTACAGCAAGAGGGATTTGCGGCTCTATTATTCCAGAATGTTCTCCTCCACAGCTGTGAATCATTTAGGAGACTGGGGAAGCAGTTAAATTATTGGTTTCAGACCTTTGATTTTCTAACTTTGAAAAGACTAGAAGGTTTTACAGTACATTATGCACATTTTATGAAAAATAAAGCGTTTAAAATTTAAAACATCAGAAAATGACCAAAACAGAGGCCTCAGGATAAGACAGAGGCAGCCATTGACAGACTCTTGGGTACAGGATGGATCATCTTTAGAAGCCAAAAAGGAAACCACACAATAACAAGAGCCAAGCTAACTCCTTCCTTTCCCTAAGTACAAGTTCAGATTCACAAATCCCATGCTCCCAGTGCAGGACACAGAGAACAGGCTGTCTGTTAAAAGAAATGTTTAATGGGGAGATAGCCATTCTCTGTTATGCTAAGGGGAGAGACTGTTCTCAGGTGAGGATGTACTGTCATCTCTGCAGCTCTTCCAACAAGACCTGGGTTAATTTTGGAGAATTCTGCCTTCCCACAAGTGCTGTGCAAGCTTTTTTCCTGTTTGCATAGAAGAGTGAAATCTCTCAACCAGGTGCCCTCAGCAGGCATGAGGGCAGCAGGAAGCCTTGGCGTCCTTGCATGTGAGTGAGGCTTGAAAAGGTCACCAGTTCTCCGCAGGCTGGGAACAGGGGTGACTACAGAATAATTGCCGGTCCTTGAAAGCCACAACTTTCTGGGGACACCTGATCCTGTCTGATGTCTGTCGAGCTCTTGTAGGACAACTTGAGCCATGATAGCCGGCTTCCTGGTTGTTAAAGTGAGGACATGGCCTTTCTCCCCACCACAGGTCAGAGGGCACTCTACAGTGGGAGAGCTGTCTCCTACAGGGTTCTGCCTGGGCCTGCAGGTCCTCCTTCTGCTGATTTAACTGCAAGGCCTCGAGTCCCCGCTTGCAGGCCAGAGTGTCCTCTAGAATTTTTCCAAGGGCTGCCATGAGCTCATAGGCTTCAGGAGGTCCACAGCTCATAAAGAGAGCTCTGTCTTTCTCAGGGATTTCCTGCCCTGGGCTATTTCTCTTGGGACTGAGCCACTGAAAAAACTGTCTCATCTTTCTTCTGAAGTAGCTTTCAGGAGGATGTGGTTCCCTCTGTGACAGGGTCTCAAACGTCCCCTCTAACTTCCCGTCCTCAGCAAGATGGCGCCTCCTTACAGCTCTAGATGTCCCCAGTCCTGTGTCCTCACATCTGCGCTCTCCTGCCGTGAGTCCCTTAGGGCACAGTCTCCTCTCCGCTGGTGGGGTGTTCTTACGCAGGCACCCCCTTAGGATATGATCATGGTCCCAGAGCTCCTGATGTGGCACCAGGCCCGACCCTTTGCTCTTCCAGTGGAAATGCAGCACCTGGGAGTCTGCCATCTCACTACTGGAAACACTGTAGGAATCAGACAGTGAGGAATCAGAAGTCACACTGTCTGGAAAAATGGATGCATCACTGGGACAGTCTTGACTCTGGCTCTGATCCCCACTCTGAAATTTAAGCTTCAGCTCCCTAAGCAGCTGTTCCTTACAGGAATGTAGTGCAGGCTCTTCAGGGCCTGGGATTCCTGGTGGGGAGTGTTCACTGGTGCTGGGAATGTCCGCCGCACTTGGAGTCACAGTTTTCCTCTGGGCATTGGTGATGGTTAAGCTGTCACCAGCTTGTAGTGGAAACAGGGGTAAGTCACGGGCCTTGAACATTTCCCTGTGCATGTTGGATGTGGAAAAGTGTTCGGAATCCTCATCCTGCATCTTCTTTTCCTGACGCACGTCTACGCGCTCACTGTGATCACTGAATCTCACTTTCCCACATCGTGATTCACAGCCAGCTTCAGCTTGCACTGCGGGCTGCTCTGGGCCCTCGCGTTTCACTGTTACAGCCTGTTTCTGACTTGCTTTGTCAAAGATGCGGTGAGAGAGGGGCCCAGAAGCCCCTCTGCCATCTCCGACTGTCTCATCCTTCCCTGAAAGCACACAGCTGGCGTCAGCAGGTGATTGTCTCAGGTACTCCTGCCCTTCCTTTCCCACAGGGGAGGTGGCAGGAAGAGAAAAATTCAACCCGGGAGCTGGGCTTTTTGTTTCTACCTTGTCTCCATGCAAAGATTTGGAGCTTTTGTCAAGGGATTTAGAGCCATTAGCCTTGGTAGCCATCCCAGGAATATGGGTGGCAGACAAGCGAACGCCTAATTGTGGAAGCGCCCATGTTTTTGCTTCTCTCGTTGTAAAGAGTTTTATGGATTCGAGAACCTTCAAGGGTAGGCCCCACTTCTGGTTTAGCTGAAACCTTATAATATGAGCTTCTAGTACCTGTTGGGTTTTGGGATCAAGAAAGGAAAGCACAAAAGTGGTAATCTGGTAGCAGGTCCTATGCACCACGGGTGCCAAATGTCCATTTTGCATACTGACATGATAACTCTGAGGAAGAGGTAATGAATCATCACCAGCCAGCCACGAGCAACACACTAGTAAAGGAATCCTACCCTCAGATATCTGCCAAAACTTCCTTTTCAAATGTAACCTGAGGATGCTTTTCATCTGATTCTCATATAAGGCCCTCCTTGAGACCCTTCGTAATTCATTCGTTGAGTCGTCTCTCATCAAGTCATTTTTTGTCTCAGACACAACCTGCTGAGTCTTCACTGGGTAGCATTCAGACACTGTTGCTGGGTTGTCTAATGAATACCTTCCCAGGATATTTCCAAGATTCTTTGCCATGTCCTTCCTCAGCTGAAAACTTGTGTGGACTCTCTCGTGGAAACTTCCTGGGATTGGCAATTCCATGTTACCTGCATCCTTGCTTCTGTGGCACTGAAGCTCAGAGAGTTGAGGGTGAGCATGTCTGAAATTCTGCTGAACTGTTCCTGTTGAGTTGCACTGAGGTTCGGTCAGTGCTGGAAATTCTTGACTCCTGTGGACATGGGCACAACAGCATGGGGTTAGCCTCTTTGGAACACGAAGCTCCAGTCTCTCCTGATGTCCACTGTCGATATGAAAATGGTCAGGAAAAACGGATACTGGAGTCTGGGAGGGCTGCCTGAGCAATGGAAAGTTGGAATCTGGAGAACTAGGGAGTTCTTGGCATTTTTGGAGCCCAGGAACTAAATCCCATAAACTTTCTTGTTTCTGAAACCCATGCCATTCCAGCTGCTGATTTTCATTTGAGATGAAAGAATCAGCTCCTCTGTGTAGTCTATGGAAAGATACTCTGTGGCCCTCGATCTGGGGTGAGGATGACGGCAGTAGAGTGAAAGGGCACTGAACTTGGGCATGGGAATGGACATGAGCTGGGGATAGAATCTGTGGTTGGAGCTTGCTTTGAGGAAAATGTTGGTGATGTGGGTTAGTGAGGGGAAGGGTGTGGACATGAGGAAGATGCGGAAGGTTTTGCTCCTGTATTTGGAGTGCGAAAGCATTACAGCTTCCATTGAATAAGACAAAGTGATGTTCAAATGAAGAACTGCTCCTAGAGACCAGGACAGTGGCCACCAGGGACTCACTGTGCAGAGAAGGAAGACCCCAGAAGAGCTGGCTGTACTTCTGCTTCAAGTGTTCCCCCAAGTTCTTGACATACAGGAGCTGCTGACAGAGGCACAGTGGCGCTGGGTTGCCTTCGGTGCCCAAGCCGCTTTTGGTGGCTGTGGCATCCTGCTCTTGCACAAGAGGCAGCAAAGAGTCGCCTGAAGAAGTCAGATGGTGTTCTGACCCCATTTGGCTTGAAAGTGTTTCTTTCATATTTTCTTTCTTTTCCAAAGTCCCAAAAGCCATTCCCTTTCCTGTTTGTGTCTCTGAGAGTGACTTTATGTTAAGGCCAAGGAGAAAAAGGCTACTGACATCCATGTTCGTAGTATCAAAGTCTCTACAGAAACAGGTCCTGGGCGGAGGGTGGGAAACATGCGCTTGCTGGAAGTCTCCGTGTTGTAATCCGGGGAATATTACATTCCTGGTAGGAGCCTGCCACTGAGATAATCCTGACATAGCCAGACTTGAAGCGTCAGTGCTGCTGGTGGTGGGGATGTAGGTGGATGACTCGCCAGGGTGACTCACCATGGACAAAGCAGCCTCTGCGTGAACAATAGAAACCGTTCTCTTATCACCATGTGATTGAGGGCCAGGAATGGCAAGTGGTTGGGATGAGAAATGGTCCTCTGGCGACTTGAAATTCAAGGGAGAAATAGGCTCTGGTGGCACAGAGTCACCCAGTGGTGAGAGTGAAAGAAAGTCAGATAAGGGGGTGGCTGGCTTAGGTGAGATGATGGAGGGGGTGCCTGGAGAGGGCCCAGATAAAGTGTCTGGTACTGCGTCTCCTGAGGGGACTGCAGAGACAGTGGAGGTCACAGGAAACGATGGCTCAATCACAGAAGATGTGGAAGACGAAGACGCAGCAGAGGAAGCATCATCCAGGCACTCCGGAAGCAGCAGACGATGGACCATAGCACTTGCTCTATTACACACCTCACAGAGGGGGTCTGGACATAGCAGGTGACGAAAGTGAATGATGGCGTGATGCTGGCCCAGGTGGCTGCAAAAGACAGGAAGTGCAAAACTCTATCCAGCACCAGAACAGGGAAAGGACAGCTTGCTGGGCTCTTTGGGGTGAGATGAGCTGACTGCTGCTACCCCCTGCACATTATCTCACACCCATGTCTTCACAATAACTTCACAGACTCTCCCCCAAGGCTTTCATCACATACCTGTTCCAGAACCACTTCTGCCCATGACTAAAGCAGGCTGAACTGATTCCCTGGAATGCAGAGAACCTGCTACATAACAGAGCCAGGAAAGACAGGGAAATACTCATCACCTTTCCAGCATAGAAAGCAACTTCCTTCTCTCTTCTGCTTCTCTCTGGCATGTTCTCCAACCTGGGGAACCAGGAGAGTGGATTACTATACGAAATAAATGTAAATGCATTGCGATCATACAGGCGTTCCCTTACAGGAGCCCCTTGGATTAGAAAACTCTGAAGACTCCAAAATGGGTATACAAAATCAAATGGTCAACAATAATATTTAAAAAGTTCATTTGTGTATGTATATTCATTAATAAAGCATTTTCACATACATCAAGAATTGTGGAGCTCAAAACCGATACATCAAGCACAGATGTCAGTGGTGACTTCAAAAAGTAATCTGAGCATCCAGGATGTCAAAGGACTTACACAAAACTGGAAACCGAAGTCCTGATTCCCAAACTAGCTGTCTTTCCATAACATCTTACATCACCAGGTATTGGGCAGTAGCCGCTGCTCAGGTCCATCTCTGATTCCTGCACATGGATGGGTGCAGCAGGGACTCTGAGGAGGGTCTCAGCTCCGCCTGCCCTCCTTGAGCCTCCGAGGTTTCTGCTTGCTAACGGACAGCATTAAGTGACTACATCCACCTGGGCATTCATGGAAGGGACAATGAAGGGTCATCCTCGGAAAGCTCAGGTCAAATAGAGAGAACCTTACCTCTGTATGTTCCACCTTTCCTCCTCCTCTTGACTCTGCCCCGACACTGAGGGCGTAAAGAAAATGATGAGAGGCTAGGGCTCACTTCTCTCCCTCCTTTCATTATCCAAGAATCATTTTCCTCCCAATTATAAATAATAGAACATTTTCACTTCTTCTCATTTGTTTTTACTGGTGATCAAATATTTTCCATTTTTCCTTCTTTCAAAATTGCTAAGGAGAATGGTATCTGTTGGATCCACCCCTGCGGTTCTCAATGTGATGTTGTCTGAATAAAGAAGGGACAAAACCCAAGGCCAGCAGTCACATCTCTGCTTTTCAGAGGACCTCACATCCCAAGGTCAGCCTCTGCCCCAGCCTCTGCTCAGAGACTCTAAAGGGCTCAGCACTGTGGTCTTGCTCAGCCCTGCAGGGAGGAAGGCTTGCAAGGGACACCTGATAAGGGAGTAGGACTCATGATTAAGAGTTAGGAGAAACTCTTCTCTTTCAGAGAATGCAAACTCCCCAGCAAAGTCAGTTCAGGAACGTGGATGGCATCACTGTGCCTAGAATTTTATCCTGGCATCCTCCACCTCATCAGATACGTAGTCTGAGAGCTTCAGGTGGAAATAATCATTCTCTGGTGAGAGATTTCTGCTTCCAGCTCTGACATTTAAAAGCTTGAAAGTCACACTCCAATCTCTAGAAGAAGCAAGACACTGAAGTATCTGAAATTGACTTTTTTGGAACCATCAGGTAATTGAGATCAGAGAGAATCACTCCTAAAAATCTTCAGAAAAAGTGAATGAAGAGAATCATAGTTGACATCAGCCTACTTCAAACAGAAGTCCCTGGAGCCAGAAATGGTAGGAACACTTCCTTAGATGTTTGGTGAATTGCTGGATGAGGAGCATGGGTTAACATGAGAGTGAAAGCTCCTGAGATTGCAGTTTTAGGGAGACTCCGGTTTGCCTGGGTTTTCCCATCTATGACCCCCTTCAAGTTCTCATAATAAAGAACCAGCAGAAAACCATCATATTTATGACAGGTTAGAGGAGAGGTAAAATTTTTTAATATATTCTGAATGTTCTGCTTAAGACACCTACTAAGCAAGGGAAAAGTCTACCAAGAGCCTTGTCCCACATGGGAGAAGTCAGGGTACTCAACTCTATCCCTCTCTAGTCTTTATATCTCATCAAAAAGTGCGAGAAAAGCTTAGAAACACTTGTGAACACCACAGCCACAGCCCAGGGACACGGGACCACAGAAAGACTTAGATTTAATGTCTCCTCCTGCACACCTTACCACCACATTCATAGGGCTCTAATATGGTGTCAGGGCATAGTACCTGAAAGAACAGCAAAGTGTAGACTCTGCCCAAGGAAGTGATCAAAGGAAAGCCTAAGGGATGAAGGGAGTCAAAGATGTGAACATTACAGGAAACTGAAGCCTGTGTTTGTTGAAGCTACAGTAAACTGACCAGATTAATATAAATTCCAGCATGTAAGGCCTATTTACCTCAAATCCTATTATCCAATTCATCATGTCTTAAAGACTCACATGGCAGGCAAACAGTCAGAAAAAAAAAAAAAAAACCTGAGTAGACAAAGCGAGCATCAGACCATACTCAGATATTGTACCAATTTTGGAATTATCATACATGGAAACTAAATGTTTATGATCAGTATGTTAAGGGCTCTAATGGAGAAAGTAGGAAACATAGAAGAATAGGTGAAAATGTTAATATAGTAACCAAAAGGAAATGTTTTGGAGAAAAAAAATATCATCACGAAAATGAAGAATGCCTCTATGGGTTCATCAATTCACCACATGTGGCCAAGCAAGGAATGAATGAGTTTGAATATATGCAAGTAGAATCTTCCTGAGCTGAAACACAAGTGGAAAGCAGTCAAAAATCTTTTAAAACCCAGATTCTCTGAATTTTGAGAACTATGAGACAGTCTCAAAATTTCTAAATATGTATAATTGTAGTAACTGAAAGTAGAAGAGACAGGAAATGAAGTAGAAGAAAGAATAAATATTTAAAGAAATAATGACTGAGATTTTTTAATTAGTGACAAATTAACCATTGATCATGCAATCTCAGACAAAACTACACCCAACAAATACAAAACAATCTATACTTAGGCATATCATATTCAAACTGCAGGAGATACAAAAAAAAAACAAAAACAAAAACAAAAACAAATCTTCCAGGGGCTGAGAAATAACACCATCCTACAGAGGAACAAGAATAAAAATTATAGACTTCTCATCATAAATAGTGAATCAGGAAAAGTGGAGTGAAATAGTTACAGTGTTGAAAGAAAACAAAAAATGCACCAAAAACTACACTTCTATATCAAGGAAAATTTTTTTCTTTTTCTCTTTATTTCTCTGTCTCTTTTAATTCTTTTTTATTAATATAAAGAGAATAGAGGCCAGCGCTGCAGCTCAATAGGCTAATCCTCCGCCTAGCGGCACCGGCACAGTGGGTTCTAGTACCAGTCGGGGCGCCGGATTCTATCCCGGTTGCCCCTCTTCTAGGCCAGCTCTCTGCTATGGCCCAAGTGCAGTGGAGGATGGCCCAAGTGCTTGGGCCCTGCACCCCATGGGAGACCAGGAGAAGCACCTGGCTCCTGCCTTCAGATCAGTGCAGTGCCCCGGCCGCGCCGGCCACCAGAGGGTGAACCAACAGCAAAAGGAAGACCTTTCTCTCTGTCTCTCTCTCTCACTGTCCACTCTGCCTGTCAAAAAGAGAGAGAGAGAGAGAGAGAGAGAGAGAGAGAGAATAGATTGTATGCATTCCATAGATACAGTTCCAAGAAGATATCCACACTTCCCCTACTCCCTGCCTCAAACTCATCCCCCTCGCTCTCTCTCCTCTCATAAGTTTTTGCAAAGATATAATTGTAAGCCATCCTATATTCACAGGCTTAATTCACAGCTAATCATAATTTTGAGCAAGTAGAAAGTAGGGAGACCAGAGTTTCAAAGGAGAATAAACAGGAACTAAAAACAAAAATCATATTACAAAATGTCCTTTTCATCCCTATATATTTTTGTATTCTATATTAACTACCACGTATCAGAGAAAATATATATTTGTATTTTGGGGACTGGCTTACTTCATTAAGCATAATGATCTCCAGCTGCATCCATTTCGTTGCAATAGACAGAATTTTACTCTTTTTACAGCTAAGTAGTATTCTATAGTGTATATATGCCACATTTTCTTTATCAGTCATCAGTGGGTGGATATCAAGGTTGATTTCCATATCTTAGCTATTGTGAATTGAGCTGCAATAAACATGGGGTACAAATAACTCTTTCATATGCTGATTTCAATTCATTTGGGTAAAATCCCAACAAGCTAGGTTATATGATAGATTTATTTTCAGATTTCTGAAGAATCTCTATACTGTCTTCCATAAAGATTGCAGTAGTTTACATTTCCACTAGCAGTGGATTAGGGTGTCTTTGACCCTACATCAGCAGCAGCATTTTTTTTAATTTTTGGATGATGGCCATGCTAACTGGCATTTTCCTGATGGTTAGTGATCCTGAGCATCTTTTTATGTGTCTGTTGGCCATTTGAATTTCATCCTTTGAAAAATGCCTATTCATGTCCTTTGCCAATTTCTTAACTGGATTGTTTGTTTTGATGTTTTTTAGTTTCTTGGGTTCTTTATAGATCCTGGATATTAATCCTGTATCAGCTGCATAGTTTGCAAATATTTTCTCCCATTCTGATTGCCTTTTTCCTTGAGTGTTTACTTTGCAGGCATAAGCTTCTTAGCTTGAATAATCCCATTTGTCTATTTTTTCAGTTATTGAGTGTGTTTCTGGGTTTTTTCACAAGGAGTCAGTGTCTATGCCATGTTGCAGAGGTTCCTTGATGTTTTCCTCTAGTACTTTGAGGGAATTAGGCTGTAGATTTAGATCCATGATTCATTTTGAGTTGATTTTTACATAAGGTGTAGGGTAGGGGTCTTGTTTCATACTTCTGCATGCATAGATCCAGTTTTCCCAGCACCATTTTGAAGAAACTATCCTTCCTCCAGAGATTGACTTTAGCACATTTATCAAAGGTTAACTGGTTGGATTAATTTCTGAGGTTTCTATTCTGTTCCACTGGTCAACATGTCTATTTTTTATGTTTTTATTATAACTGCCCTGCAGTCTGCTTTGAAATCGGGTATTGTGATCCCTCAAGATTCTTTTTATTGTTTAAGATTACTTTAGCTCTTTGGGTTTCTTATGTTTCTAAATTAATGTTAGCATCATTTTTACTATATCTGAAAACAATTGACTTGGGTATTTTAATTGGGATCACATTGATTCTATAAATTGCTTTGCATAGTAGGGACATTTTGATTATATTAATTCTTCTAATTACAAGACCAAGGAAGATTTTTCCATTTTTGTACATTCTCAAATATCTTTAATGTTTTGTAACTTTCATTGTAGAGATCTTTCATGTCCTTGGTTAAATTTGTTCCAAGGTATTTAATTTTCTGTAGTTATTGTGAATAGTACTGATCTTACAAGTTCTTCTTCAGCCATGCCATTGTCTGTGTATAGAAAGGGTATTGATTTTTGTGTGTTAATTTTGTATCCTGCAACTTTACAAAATTCTCTGATGAGTTCCAATTGTCTTTTAGCTGAGTATTTAGATCCCCCCGTGCGTAAGATCATGTCATCTGGAAACAGTGATAATTCGACTTTCTCCTTTCCAATTTGTAACCCCTTGATTTCTTTTCCTTGCCTGATGGCTCTGGCTAAAACTTCCAAGATTATACTGAACAGCAATGGTGAAGATGGGTGTCATTGTTTTGTTCTGGATTTTAATGGAAATACTTCCAACTTTTCTCCATTCAAGATGATGCAGACTGATGATTTGTCATATATTGCTTTGATTGTGTTGAGCAATGTTCCTTCTATAACCAATTTGTTTAAGGTTTTTATCAAAAAAGTATATTGTCAAATGCTTTCCCTGATCTGTTGAGATAATCATGGTTTTTACTCCTCAATTTGTTAATGTGATGTATCACATTCATTGATTTG